AAAAAAAAAAAAAAAAAAAAAAAAAGAAAGAAAGAAAGAAAGAAAAGAAAAGAAAAAGAAAGAAAGGAAGGAAGAGAGAAAAATCTCGGTAATTACACGGTCTTTAAATCTGTACGCCTGTACGGAATGATAAACTTCTCCGTGGTAAAACGTGGCTCCATCCAAATTGCCACGTTCCCCCGTCGTGATCGCGAGATTCCGTTGTCGCGAGGCAGACGTGCAATGCATCATTGGCGCGGGGTATCGTGAAATTAGCATAAATCTTGATAGCCGATAAACACCGCCTCCCTTTATGCGAGTGGTTCCTCGCGGAGAGGCACGAGGAGAAAACCGGTCCAGGGAGAGATGGTCGGTGTCGGTAGTTGGACAGCAGCTGCCTGCCGATACGATATGCGATACACGCGTAACATAGTCGTTCGATCGATTTCGAATTCTCGCATCGAAGGAAATTACCCTTTGTCGATGATGAGTAATTAATTTAATATCGAGCGGGGTTGGGCCATCGACTATTAAAGCGAGCTTATTAAAAAAACTCGAGTTATTCGAGGAACGAGATATGAATGCTCGAGCAAATCTGAATTGAATCTCATTATACGTGTTGTATAAGCTCGAGATAGTAGGAAGTTTTAAGGATTCGAGATTGAACGAGTGTTGAGTGAAGATCTTTAAATCTTTATATAATATTCACCGTCGTCATCGTAAACTCTCGCTTTCATCGTGGTTTTCTTTATCATTCCAGCGCAATAGGGGGCCAAGTTTCCAAGCGAAAAGAATAAACAATTTTCTCTTCGATCCAAAACGAACTCTCGATCCGAAACTCTTCGTTTTCGATCGAGGCGCTCCTTCATCTTTCGTATGCATTGAAATCGACGAAAAGATAGATTGAACCGATTACTCCGATACATTGGCCCCGTCGAAGAAAAGGCATAAAGGGCTTCCTTGTGGCGTGTGTTGTTACATCTTTGCATTTATAGTGGACGTTATTTTCCCGTCCGGTCGGACGAGAGAAATGGACGGGTGGCGATACGCGCGGGTGGCGTGCACGCGACAAAAGAGGCAAGAACTATAATACGAACGATTTCGTGGCCATTATCAAGGAGAAGTCGCGTGCCGTTAGCTCGATCGCTCGTTTGTATTCAACGAAAAGGACCGTATCATTCGTATAAATTGTAAGCGCGTGTGCGTCTCGCATGGTTAAACGATTGATCCTTCTCTTAGTATTCCGCTTCCCTTCGCAATAGCCTGACCGATGTACATCACTGTCGAACCCATGTCGATCACGTATCGCCCATTATTATTCGTCGTTCGCCCGGATTCGTTCCAAGCCAATAATGAGCGTTCCTCTTCTTTTTTAATTGCGCTTCAGATTGCAATCGGCTCTTTTTTTTTCGCGCAATCAGCGAGCCAATGCTGCGAAATTGGGAATTTGAAAGAGAATCATGGAATCGTAGACGCAAATTATTAGTTATTGTTCCAAAGTGTGGAATTCGATGTCGATGAAAGTTTGGAAAGACACGAAATCGACAGATACACTTTAAATCGTGGTGAAACAATCGTGCACAGGATAAGTAGAGAGAATAAATTATTAACGAGTGATCAATAAAATAAAACTTGATCGATTATTCTAGTTAAAGCGATGTGATATTACAATGTTCTCTTTTTCTTCTCATTCGTCTCTTTTTTTCATTTATTCGAGAATAAATTTTCCTCCTCCTTTTAGAGCATTCGATCTTTCCACGAAATTTTTTATTTAATGTAAGAGATTGTAATCAGTCGTTCTCACGATCCCGCCAAAATACCATTTCCATGCTCTTTACGCGTACGACGATCCAAGAATTGGAATCCAGGGCGAAAAGATTCTTTTTGTGCCACGATGTGTCACGACTTCAAAGCTGTCAGTGTCGAGATCTTGTGACGTAGCAAATCGTCGATGTAGCAATTCCACGATCCAGTGGTTATGAGTGTCGAATTCTGTGTCAGGGAGGGGGAGGGAGGGGGTATCAATATTGGTATTCCACGAGCCGAAGTTCGCCGTTATTGAAATCTCTTGACCCGGTAATCGACGACATAGTGTCGAACAATCCTTAAGATATCGACGTCTCGTGTATCGAATTATTTCTTCGATTATCTCTCGATATATCAAACGTGTATCGAGATTTTTGAATAACCGAGAAAATTGGAATATTCTTTGCCAGCTGTTTCATCTCAACGACATGGATCCGTGATTCTTTCTTTCATTGATCCGGGAAGAAAAGGATTTCGATCTATGGAAAATAATTCGAACCCTCCCCGCAGCCGCATCCGACCTCTTTCTTGAAAATCGTTGTCGGGGTCTAGGTCAAAGAATTGAGATTAATAAGTTCGAAAGGAGAGGAGAAACAAGTGCGGTTCTGTGTACCACCCTTTTGATGACAGCGATTCTTAACCTATTCTGAGACGCATAACAGTTCTTTAATTAAGGGACACGACGAGAAAAAGAAAGAAAAAAAGGGAACTTTTCATGCGAATCTCGTTTTGCATCCTCGTCGAAAAGGGTTTCTCTCTCGAAACCGGTTCGCGTCGTCCATTTCGACCATCGCCTATTGTTTTCATCGATTCGATTGCGTAATCCATTGTTTCGATTTACACCACCATCGATGTACACTAGGAGCGCACGGATCAATTATTCCTCGAATGAATGGATTTTGACAGATTTTCTATCCGATCCGCTAGCTATCATAAAATTTAATTCGATTGGTATGCTCGAGCGGGCGTAGTTTTAAATTTAACCCAATTTTCTTCGCGATTTGCTCCATCGAAATTTGGATAAGCACGTGTCTAGATTGATTCAACGATTGAATGGGAGAAGAAAGAGGCGGAAAAGAAAGAATCAGGTTGAAAACCTCTGATCCGGCGTATCCCTTTGCAATCTAAATCCTTTCCAACCAAACGGATTTGTTCCATTTAACTCGTGAAAAGCAGTGGTAGTAGTAACTTCAGTTTGACTTAACTTACAGATCGGGCTTCCGTATAAAAGCTTGTGCCACGGATGAGAAACGAAGGGAAATGAAAATCAGATACGTTTTATCGTTCCTGTGAGACACTTTTCACGGTTTCGGTCCCACTTTAGAATTTAGATTCGTCCGGTATACGTAACAACTTCAGTTTGAACGACACTCTTACAACGAAACTTCAAGAAAGAAAATTCCTTTAAATCTGCAAGCACATGGGAATATTCCTTCGCCAATTTCTGTAACAACGTCCTCTCGAAATGGATTACAATTTATATAAGACGGATATAAATCTCTAGACGGATGATACGAGCAAAGAGTGAGTTTAAATGCATGAATCGAAAAATTGTGTCGAAAAGAAGAAAATAGGATAAAATTCCATCCACAAGTGCAAGTAAATTTAGCTTTTTCGATTTTCGATTGGATACGGGTTAATTGTCGATAGGAAGTATATTCTATCGTATAAAAATAAAAAAAAAAAATATGAAATAAAATTTTTTCATTTCAAAACTAGTTTACGAGAAAATTAAATTCGAAAATTCGTCGAGTACGCAAACTATTCCTTGATTGCATATTTTCAATTTTCTCCAAATTAAAAATTTAAATAACAAAATTTCCATGGGAATAATCCATTTTCCCCTAATATACTCATAATAATTTAACTAATAGTTCAAAAATTGAGTCAATTTCAATTGTACTTGGACAAATTTTATTCTTTCCTTTCGACGTCTATTGGAAAAGATACAAAGAATTCAAGTATCGAACGAAGTATCAACATTATTATGAATACAAAGAAAGAAATATTCGAAAAATTTTCAAATTTAATTTAAAACTATTTAAACGAAAAAAAAAAAAATTTATTCTTCGCGCATATCTGTCTGTACAGAGTCAACCTGTACGTCTGGATGGATAAAGGAAAAATAAAAAAGAATCCAAGCATCGAAGCAGACAACCTCCGACGCGACGTTATTGCAAAAACGAAGGCAACAGTATTGGAGATCTTTCTGAGAACTGTGAGAACGCGCGTACGGCATAAGGAGCTTCCGTGTGAACGTGGCCTTAGAAAAAGCACTTTGCCCTACGCGTCGTCATTCTAGCAGCGACAACGACGCTGGAATTCGCTCCGCTCTTTCTTACCTCTTACTTTCTTTTTCATTATTCCCTCCGAGCCCGTCTTTTCCTTCTTCCTTCCTGCTCCCATTTATACGACCGCCTTGATTGCTCCGCCATCGTTTCCCTTTTCTCCGCTGACAATGACCTTCCACCGTGGAGAAGAAAATATGAACGCGGATGAGGGAAAAGCGACGTCGTTCTTCCCTCATTTTATCGAGAAAAGGTAACGACGCAATATCGACAATTTTCCTCGAGATTCCTTTTTTTCCTCGCTGCGACGCCCCTTTTAATCCGTGATTGAATGGACACGATTTCGAATGTTCAAGGGTGTAAATGAAACGAGATCGAATTCGAATCGAAAGAGATGTGAATTATCGACTTCACGTCGTTAATATTTTCGGGATAAAATTTGAAATCGATACGCAAGTAATCAGTGTAATCTTAACGACGATCCGATTGGATTTGAAAATATAAATTAATGGAAAAGAAGTCAATTTTTCAAGTCTTAAATAAAAGTAAAAAGAACCTCGATGATATTATCTTGATATGCAAAGAGATGTACCAATTTAAGGAATGCAAACCTGTGATATCTATTTGCGTCGAAAACGGTATGCAATCTTGGTAATAGAGTAAATTCTTTTCGGTCGACATCGAACGTCGCTGTGAGGTTTATAGGTGGATCGATGAATTCTCTTTTAGGTATCACCCGGGGAATAAAAATCTAGGGAATCGACTGAGACACGATCTAACATATTTCTGTCGGAAGAAACGAGCCGACGGTTGCGTGAATTCGAACGAACGATTCCTCGTTGAATGAATTGGAGCAGCATATCATTTTTATACCCGTTTGATTTCGCCGATGTATTTATTGAAACCGCAGCGAATAAAGCTAAAATTTTCCACGATCCTTTAAACGAAGCGTAAAAATTCTCATAATTCGAAATAACATTTTAAACATTTTCACAAAGGTTGTATATCCGACAACATCCTTTATTAAACAAGGAATAATACCGTGCATTAATATAGGAATTCTGTTTCAGGTGATAAAGATTGAATCAAAACGAATTTTATTTTCGTTATTAATTATTTATTTTATTTATTAAAAAAGAAATTTAAATTGGAAGATCAACAATTTTGGAATTATTATAATTTTAACGCTTTTGAGATACGTATATTCCGTCTTTGATTGTCTCTAGGTATAACACATATCGTTTAAAAGTAATCAAGAATTTATAGTGAATCTCGATTTATTGAAACACACATACAAAATCAAATCATCGCGCGAAAGTCGTTCTCCTATATAATCCTATCATCGTTTTAATCGATCGGTTAACCAACTTCAGTTAATAATTAATGATCCGTGAGCAATGGATAAGTGGATAAGCATAAAACGCGCACCACTCATCCGGCTAATCTCCATGATAATGGCGAAACGGAATGGTCCTTGGTTCAAAGTTCCTTAAAGCGGTGTGAAATGTGCTCTCGGAACTCGGCAGACATTTCGCGGAAAGAATACAAATCGGCCTGTGACACGAACACGGTTCAACGACTGATCCAAACTCTGTTAATCCTCTTAGCCGAAGGGGACTTAATCCGGTAAAATCGTTACGAAGTTTGTCGAGACCACGAATTTGAAGAGATGAGCGCGTGAGATATGACGGCCTCCGTGGATTCTGCGTTTCCGTTCGAGGAACAATTTTTTCA